AAATATGGCCTTGGGCTTATTATAGGGGAGGGCTTATTGTTTTGGGGTTGCCGGGCGGCTGCTCCCTTGCGAACTGGCTCCCGAAGAGCCGGGCATAGCTTCAAGGGCGAAGCAGCCATAAGGTGACCAAGCTCACGAGCAACCGCCCGCCAACCCCCTCTCCAGCCAAACAGAGCGCCATTCACTGACCTAGGGGGTATCTCTTAAGGCTCCAAGCCACGTGGTGCTCTGCCCGCTCCCCAGCTCCCACGGCTTGGCACATTAGGGATACCTCCTAGGTCAGTGCATGGAGCTATGCCGGGCTGGAGAAGGGGGTTGTGTGAGCGCCTGTTCCACTCTCTGCAGGCATGTCTCCTAGCCTCAACATGTCCGGGGCCAGTTCTCCCTGCAGCAGCTGCTGCCGCGCTCCGAGCATAACGTCTTCTCCGGTTCCAAACTCGGCTGCAGAGTCTTCCAGCAGCGGCCGCTCTAGGAGTGCGTTTTATGGTTGTGGGCTGGCTGCTAGAAGACACTCTGTCCAGAAGACTCTCTTGCAACCTAAGTACAGCAACAGTTAAGGTCCTGGCAATTCATTCTTTTTATCCAGGTTTTCATAAAATCTGGTTTATATATTTAAAAGGAGTGTGCGTGCGTGCGTGCGTGCATGTGTTTTCCCTGATCCAGTGCTGATCTAGATTTTCATATAAATTAAGAAGTCAGCTTCTTTTAATAACTTACCACGCTTCGGCTTTGAGGCTAGTCTCTCATGTTCTGAATTGTCACAAGAAGTCTCACTGTTGCTCTTCTTTCCCTGCTTGGTTTTAATCGGAAGTGGCTGAGCAATGTTGTTTTTACAATGTGGAAGTTTCTTCAGCTTACCCTTATAAACAAAACAAAATGAAAACTAAAATTGTCCCAACATCTATCTAACAAACACCATTTTCAAGATGACCATCATTCAGTCAGACACTGCTTATATACAAATGCCTAGGTCAAAGACATGGAAAGCCGTTAAGATATCATTGCACAGGATAAGATTAGGGATCAGCTGTTCCCCATTGCCTAAGAGTGTTTTCAGAATTCTTCGTCATTTGCTGCTGAAATTAACCTTTGGTTAATCCTAACCATTTCCTCTCTCTGCCTGCTTAATTTTAGAATTCATTAAGTAGATACCTCACTTTCTTGGGCAGTATTCTCTATTAGCTGTGTTCACAGACCACAATTAACTGCGAATGGAAACTCAAAGTACTGCCTAATATATTTAGAATTAATATTCTTAATAGTATCTTTGAGAAATGTTTGACTAGGTTGATGAAAATTTGAGGAAAAGCAACTGTAAAGCATGTAAGATTTAGAGTATTAAAAGTCCATTTAGTAAGACTAAATTTTTAAAATTGGAAACAAGGTATTAAAGGAAGTTTATAATAAACTATTTTGGGATTATATTTTTCCAACAAAGTGTGAATAACAAATAGAAAAAACTAATACAGGTAGTCCTCAATTTACAAGAGTTCGTTTAGTGACTGTTCAAAGTTACAAAGGCACTGAAAAAAATGACACGATTGTTTTTCACACTTACAACCTTTGTAACATTATGCTCATCTGATTAATATTTAGATGCTTGGTATTTATATTATTCTTACAACTTTAGAGGGGTTGAAAGTGAGGGTAACTTAAAGTGAGTTATGGGTAGGGTTAAAGTGGTGGATCATCTAGCTGTAGACAAATATGATTTGCTTCAAAAGTACCATGTCAGAAATAACTTCTGTAATGATCCAAAAATAAAGGTAAGACAAAATGAATG